CATTGTACAGTGTAGGTACAGTGGGATTAAGTGCCGTAATTTTTATCTCTGTCTACCTTCTAAAAGGCGTGATGTTATGTATGTATGTATAAGTAGTTTTAAGATAAACAAAATGCGTAGTATACCCCTGATATTTCATTCTTTGAATAAATGCAATATCAATAACTAAGAATCGAAGTACCTAGTAGTGAGTGGGACTTCCTACTTGTACACTTTCTACTTACATTCGCATGACACAATATAATAGCATTCGTATTATTTCAAACTAACTTCTGCACCGCGACTTCGTACGCCTAATCTTGTTTTCTCTCGTTCCCGTAAGATTTTCAGGGCTATGTTTTCTATCATAAGAATCTTCTCTTCACGATAACAAACACAACAAAAAAAAATCAGCCAAATTAGTCCAACCATTCTCAAGTTATTGCGTGATATGTAATAATATAGATGGGATGACGTGTTCCATCGTAGACTGCATCATCGCTTACTACCAGGCGGGATAGTGGTCAAACGTAGTCCATTAAATATGAATAAAAAACCCAGGAGTTACTGGTTTGAATTTCAAAAATCTTTTCTGCTTGATAGATCATTTAATTTACATAGGATTGCGCATACTGCAGTACTTTGGCCATGTCTACCGTCATGATAACGCCATAGAGCGGCTGGTCGTTTAGGGGAAAGTAGAGGGAACCAGATCACGAGACAGATCACCTATGCACTGGACTGATCAAATCAAATCAGCAACGGGAAACCCAGTGTCGGACGGCGCCAGACAATCCACAAACAGAGAGAGATGGCGGGAGATCGTGAGAAAAGCTGTATCGGCCACCAACACAAATACGGCCGCCTCATCGTGACCACGACAGAGAAGAAGGATTGCGATATGCATAAAACATCACGGTACAATCATTGGCGACCGAACAGCAAGTGACAACGAAAATAGTCCATGAAATCAAAATTGATAATTAAACATGTGCAAATAGGACTCAAAATCGTCTGCTATAAAAATCAATCTACTTACAAGCAAGTCGGTTATGTTATAACTAAAGGTCAGTTAGGAGGACAATTCAATGATAATGAACTACGTGATACTGCGTCCGCATATAGAGTTATACAAAACCAGCTTATCATGGCCTCTCCATGTGTGAGCTTTTCGTACATTCGAAATTCAGTTTATACTGGTTATGTATAGCTTGATATGTGCCTACGTGACATAGCGGCTGCACTAGATTTGAGCATACTTTCTTATTCGAAATAAGTCATGTGGGAAATTGGTCTCATCAACTTTTTTTTATTGTTTTCTTGTAAATATTGTAAATAAAAATCACCGGTAATTGGCAATCATGTTACATGATTATTGTCATTCGAATTTTCTCCAAAAGTCGATATTAAAAAAAATCTCAGTAGTAGAACGGAGTCTGGAATTGTGCCCGGTATATGGCAATAGGCTCACCCCCTATTACATGGGACTCATAACATAAATAGTGAAAAGTGGGTGTTACATTGTACACTGGCATAATGTGCACCTCTGCCTACCCCTTCGGGCATAAAAGGCGTGATGTTATGTTATGTTTTGTTAAATATACCTAGTAGTCGAAGTTCAGTGACCAGTCGAAGTATTAATGGGCATTTTTATTTTATTTTTAGTAGCATCGAATTTTAAAATTAGGTACTCTTATCCATAAACAAAATTTAGTAGAAAATATTATGAACCATAAAAAGAGAAAATAGGAAGTATTTAGAGGAAGGCAAACAATGAAAACAATGATAAATAATTTATTACAAAACGCAATGACCGAAGCTAATTTCAAGAAAGTCGATGATTTCATTGTCATGCGCGAAATTTGTATTGAATTCGTTTGTATTGGATTAGTTTTTGCCGATCAAGTGTTAGTGACAGCTAATGAAGAAGATAGCCATAATAAACTAATAAAAAATTAAAAAAAAAAACAACATACAGCCGCTTGACAATCTCCACCTTCTTGGTAAGTTGGTTAAAAAATGAATTATGTGAGTAATGCTATAAAACATAAAATCACTCCTTTTTATCCCCGAAGGGGTAATCAATGGCGCGTATTACGGCAATTAATGCCACTGTACAATGTAACACCCACTTTTCACTACTTTTGTTATGAGTCCCATGTACTAGGGGTGAGCCTATTGCCGAATACCGGGTACAATTCCAGACTATGTGCTACAATTGAGGATTTTTTTAACTCTTGGAGTACCGGTTTTGTAGACACAATTATAGAACAATAGGTTGCGGTCACCGGTGACCGCTTGGTGTTTGACAGTTTAAAAACCCAATAATACTTTGACCAACCCGTGAATCGAACCCGAGACCTCTTGTCCGGCAGTCGCACTTGCGACCACTCGGCCAACGAGGCAGTCTACTACTTATATGTATTAATATCTACATACTAATATAATAACTACTTATATTAAGAACAAAATGTTTTTTTTAATGGGATAGATCGGTAAACGAGTCGACAGGTCATCTGGTAGTAAGCAGTGGGAACGAAGACCATGTATACCTGCAACACCAGCGGAGTTACAAGTGTGTTACCGGCCTTTTGAGGCTTATAGGGATTTCCGGATTAGAGAGATTGGGGAGGGGAGGAATCAATCCAGTAACCTCACTCATAAC